CTGTTGCTGGAGTCTTTTAACACCTCAGTTTTGATGGGTGGAGAAGAGTCCACCAAGCAAAACTATCCAGCCAACCGTGATCCTGTGGTCAGAAACTCAGTGTTTACAGTACCACTCAAAAGTTTGGACACACCCACTACAGCTCTAATGGTCTTTAATTTCCATATTTTAGAATAACAGTCATAAACATCATGGCTGTGTTATTATATATGTATGGATTTATGAAATGTCCAAAAACAAGTAAAAACAAAAAATAATTTATCTCTAAGATTCTTCAAAGTTCCCTTTCACCTTCAACCAGTTTCCTTTTCCAACAGGCCTGAAGAAGTGGCAATAAATTCATGCATACACTCTTAAAAAAAGTGGTTCTTCAAGGGTTCTTTATGAACAAAAATGGTTCTATATAGAACCATGAACACTCAAGAAACCCTTTGCATGATTAAAGGATTCTTTGCATGGTTCTTTGGACTAATAGAGAACGTGCTGTAGATGGTTCCATATAGAATCTTTTCGACAAGGTTCTATATAGCAACAAATAGGGTTCCTCTACTGTTACATGTTTGACATTATAACAATAGAAGATCCCTTTTTGGTGCGAAATAGAACACTTGTCAAAAAGATTCTACATAGAACCATCTACCGCACGTTCTCTGTTAGTTTAAAGAACCATTTCACCATGCAAAGAATCCTTTAATCATGCAAAGGGTTTCTTGAGTGTTCATGGTTCTATTTAGAACCATTTTCTTTAGTAAAGAACCCTTGAAGAACCATCCTTTTAAAGTGTGTAGGCAATTTCACTATTTATATTTGAATTGAATCAAAGTTCATCCATTTAGACTTAAGTCTTTAAATTAAAATGTCTTTACAATTATAAAAAAAAAACATACATTCAATCAGGTGTGTTCAAACGTTTGGCTGGTACTGTAAGTAATGTGGAACATAATACGTATTGGTGAAGAACATCTAAAAATATACTGTTATCTGGTCTAGAAGGAAAAGACTGATCAGTTTAATTAGTTCAATCTAGTTTAAATAGATTAGAAACAGATTCAGACACACTGTGATCATTTCAATAACCTTGTGTTTTAATATGTAGGTCTGGCAACACAAGGGAAATATGGCAACTATGATTGGGCACCATACAGGGTGGCAACACTTCTAAAAATAACTTTCGTGAAATGACATTAATCATATAAATAGCTTATATCAGGGTCATTCTACAGAAACGTCCACTTTTCTATCTGTCCATAGGAGTCATTGGTGTTACTGATCCTCATTTGTGTTCCACATAATAAAGGAAACACCAGAGACATTTTTAATAAAAAATACATTTTACAAAATGGCTGCTACAGAGCATCAAACCACATGTTGTCAATCATGGAATATCCACTAAAATATGTAATTTAATCCATTTGTATTCTATTTTTTCACAGTTACCTCAGAATAAAGTCGGTCACACCAGTGACTTCAGCTAAAAGCTTCATATGAAATCATGAGCTGAATGAGAAAATCTCTGATAACTGAAAGACACAGTGGACTCACCATGAGCTTTTCTTCATAGATCATCAGAAAACAGGTAAAAGGAAGTCAAGTGATGTCATCAGTGTGACTTTTATTTCAAAATAAGAGATTGTTTGTTACGCAGTAACACCAGTGACACGACTCCTGGGGACCACAACTTTCATTATATTTTATAATATTTATTTGGCTTTGTTTTCTTTATGTCATTTAAAGCATATTTCATAGTCATGTATAGATTATTGCAGTTAAAATTGCAGAAAAATGTTTTGTTCTTCAAAATATGGCCTCAGCCTTCACACATGACTGTGAGGACGAGCTCTTCTGTGGTGCTTGGAATTCCATATTATTGATTTAAAAACCAATATTGCTAAATTGAGGCTCAAGAAGGTGTAATTATGAAAATGACTTATTGTTTTATTTTAAAATATAAATAAATTGTAACACTAACATGTTTTTATATCTGTAAACGCTAGGGACACAAAAATGGACGTTTCTGTAAAATGACCCAAATATATGTAATATCAGAATAAACCCCAGCTACATTAGTTGATTGACAGGACAGGGCACACTGAAGGTCACCTAGCCCAGATTCAGGACTGCATATCAGAGCTGACGATAAATAAACCCAATCAAACGTTACTGGAATATTATTCTGAATAAACACTCGCTGCTGTTTCACATCTGACCCCAGTGTTAGTGCTGGTTTAGTAACCTGCCTGCTGAGCAGTTCAGCCACAGTGTTTTAGCCCAGTGGAGTAAATCAGTGAGCGGCTCCTCTCAGCTGACCACAGATCTGACCTGAAACCTGCTGTGTGGGAGGTTATTACATGCTATACCGGTCTGTGCTATAACGGTTATGTTCCAGCAGCCACATACCTCCAGCGGTCAGGAGAAGAACACGGCCACATTGAGTTGTTGGACTCACGTCACGATGGACGGCAGGGTTGCCAGTTCCGTCTCATAAAATCCCCCACAGAAACATAACTGTGTGGGCCGAGTTCTCTGTCTGAGGCGATACGTCGGCGCGTCCGCCATGTTGGAGCGGTCAAGATCCGCTTGTGAAGAGATTCACTTGTATTGAGAGACGAAGAGTCTCAGGATTAAATCAGCCACAACTTCCTTACTACTCAACTGATTTTCACCAAATCTGTTTAGTTATAATCCTCAGACACAGATTAATCCAGGCTGAACAAAACTGCTCTCGGTAGCTTTTATTACTGTAATAACTGATCAGGCTAACTAGCCGTCTGGACCAGCAGGAAAGTATTCAGTCTGGACCTGATGTTAAAAACCGAGGCACACATCAGCAAATCCATCAAGGTGTGGATCACTTCTAATCTTAATACACATAAAAATAAAATAAACCCCCAAAACACAGTAAGAAGGACGAAGCTGAGTTTTCCCGTTCCACCTTAAATGGTGCAGCTCCAGGCACCATATAGTGACTACTGCACCATTTAAGGTGTGTATATCTGTGTTTTCTTCCTACACTGTGCAAATGAAATTCTTTTCGACAGAGGCTTTCATTGTTTTGTTTTGTTTTGTTTTTTTTTATGTCTGCATACATTCGTTGAGATGTAAACAGGTCGTTCAGAGTTGTTTGGTGTGAAATTGTAGAGAAACTTACCAAACCTCAAGATTCCTTTAGAGCCCATGTGTCAAACACAAGGCCCGCCACACAATCCTCTGCGGCCCGCAAAGGTATTTTAATTTTCTACTAACATTAGCCCGTTTCATAGGGTGCTGCACTACAGTACCCAGCATGCACTGGAATGTATGGTGTACCAACTCTTCTACCCCAACAACAGTCTATGGGGTCTGTTTTACTTGGAGACTACTTTGCCTCACTGTGCCTTGCATGAACCTCTTCACTACATATGGATGAAAAAAAAACGTTTTAGTCCAAAACCTTCAAAACTATCATAAAACTGTCTTAGGCATCTGGCAGCATATTCATAATCATTAAATATAATAACTTTCTGCAATATAGCTTCTAGATGCATTAAACTCTACAGATATCTGGTTCCTATCACCTCCACTGTAAATAATTCTCTATGACGGAGTGTTTCACATCAAACTACTCTGAATGACTTTGACTACAGCTAATTTGATTACACACGAAGTCTGAAAAATGAACAGCATTATCTTTTAAGCTATTAATATTGCATGTACAGGGTTTCAGATTATTAATGCAGTCTGGTGCACACGGGGTAAATACATTAAACCCCATTCCATTCTAGCAGGCCCTACTTTCTACTAACCACCATTGTTGACTGGCTCAAGAAACCACATTCTGCTACAGTTAGTGTGGAAATAACTAACACCTTTTTCAGTGTAATGATTTTTCTCTCCAATATCAGTCAGAGAAAGCATTCACAGGTGGCACGTAATACTAGCAGACTTTCCCCTCCTTCTGCAAACAAAGCTGTCACAATGCCCACATTGTGAGACACCCAGCAATGACAATGCAAAAGGCAACTGAGCGAGTCACCACCCTCATCTCCACATGAGGGTGGTCAAAATACACAGATCAGGCATAACATTATGACCACCTCCTTGTTTCTACTGCTCATTGTCCATTTTATCAGCTCCACTTACTATATAGGTGCACTTTGTAGTTCTACAGTTACAGACTGTAGTCCATCTGTTTCTCTGATACTTTGTTAGCCCCCTTTTACCCTGTTCTTCAGTGGTCAGGACCCCCATGGACCCTCACAGAGCAGGTACTATTTGGGTGGTGGATTATTCTCAGCACTGCAGTAACACTAATGTGGTGGTGGTGTGTTAGTGTGTGTTGCGCTGGTACAAGTGGATCAGACACAGCAGTGCTGCTGGAGTTTTTCAACACTGTGTCCACTCACTGTCCACTCTTACCTTGTTGGTCCACTTTGTAGATGTAAAGTCAGAGACGATAGCTCATCTGCTTCTGCACAGTTTGTGTTGGTCATCCTCTAGTCCTTCATCAGTGGTCACGGGACGCTGCCCACAGGACGCTGTTGGCTGGATATTTTTGGTTGGTGGACTATTCTCAGTCCAGCAGTGACACTGAGGTGTTTAAAAACTCCAGCAGCTCTGCTGTGTCTGATCCACTCATACCAGCACAACACACACTAACACACCACCACCACGTCAGTGTCACTGCAGTGCTGAGAATGACCCACCACCCAAATAGTACCTGCTCTGTGAGGGTCCATGGGGGTCCTGACCACTGAAGAACAGGGTAAAAGGGGGCTAACAAAGTATCAGAGAAACAGATGGACTACAGTCTGTAACTGTAGAACTACAAAGTGCTCCTATATAGTAAGTGGAGCTGATAAAATGGACAATGAGCGTAGAAACAAGGAGGTGGTCAGAATGTTATGCCTGATCGGTGTATAATAAGAACCATAAAATGGTGCTTGGTCAAATCCTAATCAATGTGTTCAAAATAGGCTTTATTAGTCCATCTACATGTTCTGTAAAAAGACATATTGCAAAAATAACGTTGCTATGCGGTCTTTATTTTGACTCTGGGAATGCAGTGATGTTCCAGCCTCATGAACAATGTATGAAAAACACATTAAATATTGGACCAAACGTATATCATCCCTTTTCATGTGGACTGTAGGTAACATTCACCATTTCTGCTGGCATATGCACATTTAATGTGAATTCTTCAATAAACAAAAAAAAAACTCTTCAAACTTTCAGAAGAAGCAAACGGAAGCACTTACAGTAGAGTCACACGTCAACTTCACACAAAATATAGGCAGATACAAATAAGGGCATTAAAAAAACATTAATGTAAAACACTTTTTTGGACAGACTCCAGTGATTACATGGAGTGACTTTGACATCTGTGCGTTTATTTTTGACGTTCATAAATCTTTTGCTTTGTCCTGATGTGTGTATTTGTGGTAAACTACACCCAGCGTGGTGAAGAAGTTCCCCATGAACAGCACGAGAAAGGTGGATGCGCACATGAGGACCTGCAGACAAGAAAGACAACTATAATGACCCTGCAGAACTATAATCTATCGCAGAAAAAAGTCACAACATTGAGTATTTTTGTCGATATTGTACAACCCCATTTCCAAAAAAGTTGGGACGCTGTGCAAAATGTAAATAAAAACAAAAAGCAATGATGTGCAAATCATTTAAACCCTATATTTCATTGGAAATAGTACAAAGACAACAAATCAAATGTTGAAACTGAGAAATTTTATTGTTTTTTGAAAAATATATGCCCATTTTGAATTTGATGCCAACAACATGTTCCAAAAAAGTTGGGACAGGGGCCTGTTTACCACTGTGTTTCACCACCTCTTCTTTTAACAACACTCTGTAAGCGTTCAGGAACTAAGGAGGACCAATTGCTGGAGTTTTGAAAGTGAAATGTTTTCCCATTTTTGCTTAACATAGGACTTCAGCTGCTCAACATACTGTGCCAAATGTTATCAGTGGTGACAGGTCTGGACTGCAGGCCGGTCAGTTTAGCACCCGGACTCTTTTAATACGGAGCAATACTGTTGTAATACATGCAGAATGTGGTTTGTCATTGTCTTGCTGAAATAATCAAGGCTGAAAAAGACGTTGTCTGGATGGCAGCATATGTTGCCAAAACATGTATATATCGTTCAGTATTAATGGTGCCTCCACAGATGTGCATGTCAGCCATGCCATGTGCACTAATGCCCCCCTACACCATCATGAATACTGGCTTTTGAACGGTGCACTGATAACAAGCTGAGTGGTCTTTAGCCAGGAGGACACAGTGTCACAGAGTCCCAGCTTTTTTGGAAATGGGGTTGTACTCCTACAGCTGGATGTACTTTACTGACTGAGCCTAGATTACATTAATGGTCATTAATGTGCACGAGGTCAAGCAGAAAATAATCCAAACATGATGTGCTTCAAGAGATGTTGCTGTTATTGTGTCCGTTCACTCACCTGCCACTCTTTCCATTCCGGCAGCTGGGCCATTTGGAAAAGCGTGATTCCATTATAAAGCTGAAAAAACTGCAAGTGTAAATGATAGTTTTATTATTCTATCATAAACCAAAAGCCACATTTATCTCACAACACAGTGACCGAGAGCAATGGCACATCTCAACATTGCTCAATAAAGTCCAGTGTGAATGAGAGACTAACTGTGCCAAGGCTTGTCTCTGCGTTCGACTAAAGCTTATAACTTCGAATTTCTAAACTCTGACCAGAAAACCAAAAAAACGGCCCCCTCAACTGGGAATGCCAACTCAGAAAGATGGGAAGATGTACTGAACTCATGTGTTCAGCACATGCTCACACTGTCAGCAGTAATAAAGTACCACTTATCAACTTTTACATGAGATTATAGTAGTTCTTGCCATAGATCAATGAACGTAGCAGTAGTTGGTTAAATCTGTTACACTGAGCATAAAGATCACTGTTTAAGATGGTACAGTGCTTAACAAGTCTTAGGCACCAAAGCAGATTATTTAAAACCATTTTATCTTGACAATAAGTGTGTTTGTGCTTATAAAACCAACATACATCTTTAGAATTAATGCAAATAAACATCATTACAGTAAAAGGTAATAAAAAAAGCAGTTGATATCTTGTGAGCTAGTTTGAAGAATAAAATGCTTCAACATATTGAAATACTGATCAGCCAAAACAGGTGTTGGATGATAACCACAACACTCGGCTGCCACAAGGAGAGGTTCGGAAATTATTACAAAAACAATAACATACGTAAAATCTACTAATTGTATTACTAGTTTTTTTAATTTATTCTAATATTAGTTTTTCTGAGTAAATAAAAGCTTACCAGATAACTGTCTAACCTCTTATGCCTGTGGGTATATTTCAGGTTTTTCCATCCGAATTTACATGCCCAAATGATTCGGCAAATTATTTTTTTGGTAAAAGTTCCCCTCAAATTAACAGAAAATGTGTTTTATGATCAAAAAGCCAAAAATCTTAGACGCTCTTTGTATTCTTTTATAAATGTAATTTGTACAGAGCAGATCACTGAAGAGACGCCATCTGTTTATAGTTTATAGCTCAGATTTGTGGAAAAATGGGTCGACTTTCAGTAGAAAAACAAATTCAGTTTTTTTTTCAGTGTTCAGCTTCTTTTATTATGAAGTTTTAAACTACATTACCCATCTATTTGACTGGAAAGAACACAGTAACAGACATATTGCAATCAATAATGTTAGCTGGCTAGCCTTTTGCTAACAATACTGGCATCCATAGAGGTGTTCATGTTTGTTCACCACTCTGTAGCTTGAAAATGATGCAATTCTGCCCACCGACTTAAGTTGAATGCAGGGTTCCTCTCATTAGACTTTATAAAATGGTTGTAGATCAGTTATGTCATGCTCAGATGGAGTGTCCTTAATTACTAAACATAACAAGAAGCACAAAAACACTGTGGTACTCACATGACCGAGGAAAAGGAAAGGCAACAGAAAAGTCAGGCCCCTCCACATCCAGGACTGAAAGCCCTCTGAGGACAAATCATTGTCATATTCTCTTAAAACAAAAAACTAAAAGCTTTTAGACAACACTTTTAAAAACGAAGTTACTACTAATACTACAGCTGAACATTTCAGTACAGCAGCATTCGCTGATTGTTTTACACAACAACATGTATATTATGTTATGTCCTCTGGATTAAATCCAATCAAATCACGTTTATTGTCTCATTACATTTACACAGGTGTGAAGGTGAGTGAAAATCTTAGGTGTGTAGCCCCCTTGTAGTACTTAAATACAAAATATATAAAGATAAAAGAAATATATATATATATATATATATATATATATACTACACACACACACACCTACTCTAAATATATACACATATACACAATTTACACTAGTATTGCACTATTTCCAATGTACAGCTGTACAGTAATAAGTTATGAAATAAAACTATATGTACTGTTGTACACATTTCCGTATGTTCAGTTAGTGAGTCTGAGGTAGATAATAAATAAGATGCAGGGGCCGTATTACAGAAAATTCCTATCTTTTTTGTCTTAACTTAAGATCTGACAGGTCAAGATAAGATTTTTCACAAATTCGTATTACAGAAGCAAATCTGATCTTAATTTAAGAATCTTATCTTGCAGCATCTTATCACATCTTAAGTTAGGAAATCTTAACTTTCTCGACTGAAATCGACAATCAGCTGTCATGTCTATTACCTAGCAACTGACCATATACACAGCTAAAACATAAACACACAATCAGGTTAGTTAGCCAGACAGCTAACGTTAGCTACCGTTACTGATGTAAAAAAGGTCAAATAAAACTAAAGTGCGATAAACAGAGTTAAGAAAATTGTCTCAGCGCCCCCTGCTATTTATCAGAGCATCACCGCTCTACAGTTTCAGTCTCCATTTCCCAAACGTTTTAGCCGAGCGCGCTAACGTTACTCCTCCTAATAAACAGACACACGTTCAGCTCCATCTCCTCATTATTCACCACCATCACTGTAATATTTCATCATCAACATTAACACACGAAGGTGATCAGAGGGGCGGTGGAGATCGAGTCTGCAGCGTCTGGGGTTTTAAACGCTGTTAATAAAAACACAACTCAAAGCTCCGTTTTCAGTGTAGATAAATGTGGCGTCATTATGCTGGTTATAGTGAGCTGAGCTGCCCATCACTGTATAAAACAATAGAAACAGACGGGTAAACAGAAGTTAAGACTCTGGAGTTTAACTTAAAGTTAAGAAAATATTTAGGATATTTTGGCAACTTAGGATGTTTCTGTAAAACCGTTTTCTTATCTGGACATAAGATAAAATTATAGACTTAAGAGCTGTTGTTCTGTAATGGCTTCTGTCCTAACTTCAGACTTAACTGAAGTTGCCATGACAACAAAGCAGATCTCAGACTTAAGAATTTCTGTAATACGGCCCCTGGTACACAGGGGATAGAATACTGATATAGAAATCTTCCAGATTATACAAGATATGGATAGATATGGCTGCAGTATCAGGCAAATGAACTGTGATTATAACTGTAGCTCACCAACTGTGAGGTCCATGTTGTGTCGCTCTCCCAGAGCACGAAGCCGGTATAGACAGCCACTCTGGTAGTAGTATTGAAGAAACTGGACAAAATCTGTGTGTTTGATAAAAAAGGGTTGAAAACGTGCATTTTTACAAATACACTGCAATTATGTGGAGATACATAATAAACAACACATTATGGACTTAAACGTAGTTCTATTACTTATATACAAGGAGTAGGATAGGAACTGGTTCCTAAACATCTGGTAGAGTTCTCCCTCAGGCCTAGAAGACAGAGGAAAGCAACTGAAATAAGTGCTTTGTGATGTGCAAAAAAAGCTGGTTTAGCCATTCTGACTAAAAGATCATGACTGACAATGTTACGATTCACTTCACAGTTTTGTAGATGAGGAACACTGGCTAGAACAACTAAGGATTAGTCTGCTAATGGACAATGGAAGGTTCTAGATATATGAGCACTAGGTTTGAGTTAGGGTTGACTCTGTGCAGCTGTTACACATAATTTCACACAAACTTTATAAGAGTAGAGACACAATCACTCTTACCAAGTCAGCATTACTCCAGAGAGGAAAGTTGAGACATAATGTTGAAATACCCACCACCCCTTGATCCTGAAACAACACGCAATTGCATAGACAGCAGTGTACAGAGGTCAGTACGGTGCTACTGAAAACAGAAGCTGCATTTGATCACTACTTTACTCTTCAAAGGGGCAATTTTGACTTTTTACATTACATTTGGTTCATAAAATTAAAGAAGAAACAAAGTAAAAAATATGTTTAAGTAAAAATGTCCACTTTACATATGTAACCTTATGTTATTAACGTTGTATTACTCACTTTGAGCCGTTATTAATGAGGATGCTCTCCCTTATCGTCAGGGTGCAGTAATACCAGACCAACAGGAAATTGAAAAGTGCGTCTACCACTCTGTCCAAGAGAAAACACACATTTCACTACACAAAAAATCTTTGTTTGTGCAAAGCAAGCAAGTAAAGACGACTGCGAAAAGACTATTGTACAAAAATCTTTTACATGCACTGCACAACAGGTTGACATACCTATAACTGACTATAAATCGGCACGTGAAGGAGAAAAGTAGAAGAATCACGGTCAGGTAGAGCTTAAACTTCTCATACTCATCTTTGTAGGCAAATCTGTAGGATGAAAAAAAAATCTGTTGAATTGGATTCGTCTTTTGGGTCATTCATACTTCACAGAAATGTTCAACACAAGTAAATCTGCATGGCTTTCGTCGAATACTTACTTTGACTGTTTGTCAAGGAGTGTAACGTTCACATTTCCAAGGACAAGACTGAGGTATAACCTAGAACAAGGAGTTAGAGAAAGTAGCGCACGTCAGAACAAAGAGCTCACACCATGAGGGAACGCTGCTGTTTCAAAACACAATGCCAGTTCAGAACCCAGAGGCTAAAATCATTTGACAAACAAAAACCTACTTTGCATTGGCACGGCTGACAATGTGTCATCAACACTCGGGCTGCTGTGCTTGCTAAATTATGGTTGATAACGTGTACTGAAGGTGTGGTGCAAACACATGCAAACGCAAACTAAATCCCGCTCGAATCTCCCAAACCGCTTTACCCGTTTTTCTTTGGAAGGAAAGCCTCCATTTCAAAAAATACACTTGGCCTTTCTTTCATGGATTCCAGGATCCCATCTATTGCGCTCCTGTCCTCTGGGTTCCCCTTCTGTCTGCATCTGATAAAGAAACAACATTATAAATGAGCCTAAGGGGGTTAAGAAAGATGTAGGTGCTTGACTGGGGTTTATACGAGAAGGGTCTGGCCGCAGACATGCACTCTCAGCCTGACATGCACCGCCAGCTTATTAATGACGTCAGTGCCGCTCTGCCACGACAGCGTTTTTGTCGGTTTTATGAGGAAAAACAACGAAACACGGACTGCTGGGCAACCAGAGCTACACTGAATGTATATAACCGTTGCCATACTGATAATAAGGTAATTAAATATGGAAACTTTCAAAATAAAACGTACCACGGCGATGAGACATGAATGTCGGGTTTAATCACAGAAAAAACAAAAGGCTACTGAAACTCATAAAAGCCACGCTGAAGATGATTAGAACCAGTTATCAAAAACTGTAATATTGATTAAAATAGAATTAATTAAGGATTCTAGGAGGTTGTGACAACATACAGTCAACGTAGTACCGATTATTTTTGCTGTCTCGTCAACGCCGTCACAACCTCCTAGAAAGTTGTCAGACAACGTTCATAACTTTCTGAGGAATTACATTTCATCGCTGTGCCAATGTAGAGAGCATCAAGCAGACGACGCTGCGAAAACCGAAACAGTACGTTCTCACAACGTGATGGTTTTGCTTCCTAACAGGGAATTGGCTTGATGGTTGCCGTTAGAGGCCATTAGGAAATGATCAAATGTATCTGGAATCAGTCAAAACACCTGATTAAACGATCAGAGTCCTTTACACTGTGATATCAACCCATCAGGACAACACAGAAGACCATCAGCGACTAATGAAAAGCACCAGGACCAACAGACACTTTTAATGGGTTCTGATGTTTTTCACCAGGGAGGTATATTAGATGTTACTCTCTAGCAGTGTTATAGACGAAAAATGGATGAAGTGATGATGTCGCTGAGCAGCAGCAGCCAAAAGTCACCACCATTGTGGCAGAGTGCATGTGCACGTGACGTCACTGTGGCTGAGAGTGCACCTCTGCAGCCAGACTCTACTGGGGGTTTATACAGACAAGCATTTGGCAGGCCTTGAACTTTTAGTACCGGGCTGGGTGAAATCAGCTGCTGCCAAAGCAAAATGCCAGCACTTACTCTTCAAGGGAATCTGAGAGCTCCTTTATCCTTTTCTTCTGGCGCGCAATGGAAGCCGAGCAGCTGTCCTGCAGCTTTGAAACCTCCTCTAGCTTTTGTTTATACAGACGATGGGTTTCCTGAAAGGAATGAAGAAGCGTTTTAGACGGCGACGTCGCCAAAAAGGCAGCCAGCCAACAACTCATCCAGCGCTAATCAAAGTTAGGCTAAGTCAGACGGGAGGCTCACTTAATTCACTTAGCTCACACGCAACGAGCAGCTATTACTTATAAACAGATGATCATAGCTACAGCTGGTGGATGAGGCGTTGTTGATGCTCTCCATGTCTAGCATTAGCTACACGGCTAACCACCAGGATCCATTCAGAGCTATGATAAGTGGACTCAGCTAGCTACTAGCACGCAAGGCTAACCGGCTACCAGGGATGCCTTCAGGTATGATTCTGATGACGTACAGGTTATTTAAGCCCATTATATGGTTAATTTTTCTGGTATTTGAATAAGTAAGGCATCCTAAGATCCAAAAGAACCAAGTGAGTCCGCTTCCGACCGGCTAACAAGGCTAACCGGCTACCAGGGATGCCTTCAGGTATGATTCCGATGACGTACAGGTTATTTAAAGCCAATTATATGATTTATTTTTGGGGCATCTGAATAATTAAGGCATCCTAAGATCCAAAAGAACCAAGTGAGTCCGCTTCTTACCGGCCAGGCAGCTCACAGACTAACTAAAGCGCCGCTAGCCGGGCAGCGCAGCTGCTGTCGGGCGCTTGTAGTCGTGGAGAAAGCCCGAGTCCTACCTGGACCTGCTGGTAGTCCTTTTCGAGATCCTCCCATTCCTGAAGACACTCGGACAAAGAGGTCGGACTAAACAACATCGCGCTGAGGGTTCGTGACGGAAGAAGTCCAGCCAACTGTCTGTACTGCTGTATTGGTCTGACAGATAACGGTCTGCCGCCCCTCCGCTCCTCCTCCGCTCCTCCTCCGCCGTCTGAGCGGTCGGGCCGCCCGCTCTGTGTTTTGACAGTCATGCGCTGCGCTGTGTGGAAGTCACGCCGGGACTGACGTTTTTCCTTCAGGCAGTTTCCATTGAACACTATTTACGTTCACCCACATGTCAGACTTTCTCACCATCAACAATACCCACAACAAACACGCACAACATTTCTCTAACAACACGGAGCCCCGCTGGAGACATCCTGACGACTTAGTAAGGCGTGGGAACGAGATCCTAATGCGTGGCCACGACTTACTAAGCCGTGATCTCGTTCCCACGCCTTACTGAATCATGGCCACGACTTAATCATCTCATTCCCACGCCTCACTAAGTCGTTAATAAGGCGTGGCCACGCTTTATTTTTGTGTATACAGGATGTCATCATCAAGGCTCCGTACTAACACACGACAATACAGTTTAAAAACGATAAACAACCTTCCTACTTTCTTTATTTGTTTATTGTTTTGTCTTTTTTGGCTCTCGCTCACCACTAACATTGTTCTTTAGCACCCCCCCAAAACCCCTCTGGTTCATAACCTCCTATATCCCATCTCATACCCCCTACGTAGCCCTGCTGGTGACATCCTGTATAAATAAAAATAATGCATGGCCACGGCTCAGTAAGGCGTAGGAATGAGACGATTAAGCCGATAAGTACGACTTAGTAAGCCGTGATCTCGTTCCCACGCATACTAAGTCATGGCCACGACTTAATCATCTCATTCCTACACCTTACTAAGTCGTGGCCACCCATTAATATCTTGTTTCCACGTGTTAATAAGGCAGTAAACTGTCACTGGGGCAGTGCCCCTCTGGTCACTCTGGTCTGGTTCCCTCAAGGCTCCATCTCAGTACCTTTAGTCAGGGAACATAACTGAACCATAATCCACTGAAATGATATGTTCTAAGCTGTACTGACTCCACACACCCCGTCTCGTCTCCAGGCTTTTATTTTACTGTTCTGTTTAAAACATTCGGTTATGAAAAGGTACAAATACGAACTTTTCACCTGGACAAAACTTATTTAAGGTTCACAATCAGACCTTAAAACCACTGTTGGAGCTTTGAGGGAACATTTACACTGTTTGTACCTCGATGAACGAGAAACGTACCTGAACAGAACCTTTATTTCTAACAGTGTATGGTAAGCAGGGGCCTACTAAGACAAAAGACTGGAACATCTGGGCCTCTCACATTTTCAACACAAGTAACATATATTAATATATTAGTATAATGGAATCTTGAATCCCTGTCATGTTTTAAAGACCCTGTCCAGCTCTAACCCATTTTGCGCCCCTACTGATGACTATTACACAGCTTAGTCACGGCCTAAAACCCTCCACAAAAACCTTCTTACCTCAATGAGTCAGAGAATGATAATGACACAAGTACAAAAGTAGTAAACAAAAACAACTTTGAGTAGGAGTAAAGGGATTACTAACGTTGTAGTAACTAAAGTTAAAGAACTAAATGTGATGAAAATGCAAATGAGTAAAAAGTAGATTTTAAAGTTTTACTTACTACAACGAAAGTGAAATGTAACTAATCACTCCCCACACTGCTGATCTGTAGACCACTAATGACTGATCTTAAGACTGATTCATTCAGAACCTTTAACAGGAATTAGACCTCCACATTTAACCCATCTGTGCAGTGAAACACCCACATACATGCACACCAGTGAACACACACACTAGGGGGCAGTGAGCACATTTGCCCGGAGTGGTGGGCAGCCCTAGCCGCAGAGTCTGGGGAGCAGCTGGGGGTTAAGTGCCTTGCTCAATTCAGTCTTCAGGGCACTTCAGTCACGTACTGTCGGCTAAGGGGATCAAACCGGCAACCTTGCGGTCACAAGGCTGCTTCCCTAACCTCCAGCCCACGACTGCCCCCAAAAAAAGGCTTTCAGTACTGTAGACCACTAATGACTGATCTTAAGACTGATTCAGTACTTTTCCAAAAGCTTAAGTTTTTTTATGTTTTGTTTTTGTTTGTTACCTGTGATTATTCAGTGCTCAGAAGGAACTCACAATGCACTAAACAAGTTTTCTTTTTATTTTATGATTAATAAGAAAATAAGATCATATTGTAAGACAAATCATATGCTATGATTTATATCACTGTTGTCGGAACAAAACCTTGTATCTCTAAAATGGTAGCTGTACAGGAGAACAAAAAAACATACTTAACTTTTAATGTAAGTCAATGGAACCAGACTTTTTTGGCCGTTTCTTTTGGTACATTTATCATGAAATGTACACACAATGTAAAGGGCAACAGGTATTTTTTCAAGTTAAGGCAAAAACTGAAAAATGACAAAAATGGAGATAGAAGGTTTTCTTCCGACAGCAGCGATATACTAAAAATTAAATGCTTTTTAATACCTTTTTAAGACTAAAAGAAACACTGAAAGAAAAATTATCCAAATTCTGCTGAACAATCCCCACAAACTGAAATACGACTTGTGTTAATGTCTATTTTATTCAAACAGTGGTCAGTTCCTGTTCTGAATCTTTTTGACCTGTGGTCACTTACATTAAACATCTATGGTTTTCTCTTCATCTTCAGTAAGCTGTGTACCTCAAGTGAGATCTCTTCAGGGAAATATTTAAGTAAAAAAATCTATAATGGTAAATTGAGTTTTTGACAGTTGCAGAAGTTAAATATTAATTCAGAGCTTTGAATTTGTCTCTTAAGCATTTAACCTACAGTCATATGCAATGACATGTTACGTTGATTTTACAAGTGAAAATAAGTTAACATGTCCACAGAGAATATTTGGCATTTTTCTGCACATTTTAAGGTACAATTTCATGTATTTGCTGAGTTTAGTATATTGGAAAAAAAGTAAATATAAAATAAAAAAATGTGATAACTCATGCACATGCTACATTTTATATATATCTATATTTATCCAACATGTTAAATTCAGCCAATAAACAGTAAACAGTGCATTAAACAGTGCATTAAAATGTGCAGACGTGTGTTCTCTGTAAAGGGTGTGTTAACTTATTTTCAAGTCATTTGACCAGGAGTGCCCACATTGTTGTATACAACTGTAAGATACATAGATGAGATGGTTTTTAGACATTTTATAACCTTAAATCTTTTTATAATCTTGAATCCAGACCTTTTTACATGGAGCCCTGATTTTTTTTCCAGTAAATTCATTCAGGATCTCTGAATACAGGATCGAGTCAGTTGTCTTAGAACAGCTGAAGACTCAGTAGTTGGGCTCTGAAATGTCTGTCACCGTCCTCCCCTGTACAGACAGCTCCCAGCTGGACAGCTGCTGCACAAATCCTCGATTGGGCCTCATGTTGGCTTTACATTTTTGGACATGATCCCACGCCTCCTAATGAATCACAAGCCAAGAACATTCATGTCAGTTGTGTGAATTTTTGCTGATATGAGTTGTGTCGTGTTCTACCAGCTTGGTGCCTTTCATGATTCATCTGAGATTCATCTAAGACCACCAGTCTCACTCACTTTTAATATCTGTACAAAAGTATCCAAACACCCCTTCTAATTGGGGAATTCAGCTACTTTGACCCCTTAAAAGGCCAGGACCCTCCAGTGGGCTCAAAGTTTTATTACACACTTCCATAACCTAAGAATAGCTCCATCAGTTTGCATATAAAAAATAAGCCTTAGTATGAAATAATCCTGGGTTTTTAACCCTTGTGTCCAGCGTAGGGTTCTCCTTTAGCAGCTATAGCCAGTCAGCAGCCTGTCCATGTTGTCCACCATCACACACACACACACATATACAAACACATACACACACAGACACACACACACTAAAAGCAGGCCATGTAGGAGGAGAACAGAGTGAAGGACACAGCACCTCCACACTTTTACTCCCCGCAGGTTCAGCCCAACACCACATGTGTAATATAAATATGTAGGGGGTGAACAGAGTGAAGACACTGAAAATGGGTTATTTTATATGTTCTATGTTTATATATTTTTTATTTTAGTAAACACTGAAAACGGGTCCCACAGACCCCAACACCACACAAGGGTTGAGCAGTGGGCTCTGAGCATCTGACACAAGAACTGAAATATTTTTATACTATATATAACTTATTGCATTATTATTTTTCTTTTAAAATTGCATTCTTGAAGTATTTTGTTCAATACTTTCAACAAAATGTCGTGTAACGTAATAAAAAACACTTCCTGCCTACCTGCCTTCTTTATTTGTATAAAGGTGTGGCCACCCCTGATTAGGAGTTACCTTCAGTGTGTATTGTAGGTGGTGCATAAGGAAGGCCATGGCCATCGCACTGCAGCGGCTGATGCCGTGTGTTGAAAATATGAACGCAGCAGATCCAGCGTTAAGGCAAGAGGCTGGAATATAAAACACATCTTTAAAATAATTTGAAGTGAATTCCATGTGAACCACATGACAATATCTTATCACACTTACCCAAGAAAACACAGACTCTCTCAAAGGAACCAGACAAATCAGCATCCACAGAATCCGCCACTCGGACATGCAGGACTGAGTAGCTTCCCTTCTCAGACCTAGTTTGCAGAACATCTCATTTACAGCCTGTTTCAGAGCCTGGGATAACTCTAAATCAGTTTTTCTTGCTTGGCGTGAGATCAAACGGAAAGAAAAGGGAAGAGCAGATGAACTCACACTAGACTGCTCTCCTCAGAGACATTAATCAGTGCTGTCAGTCTCAGGTCTCTGAGTATCTGTGGATTTGTCGCCTGCTTGAAATCACCCATGTAGAGCTGGCCAGGCAAGATTTCCACTGGATAAGGCCTCAGGCTTTCCAGTTCCTGATATAAAAGACACACACACACACACACACATATATATATATACATGTAGACCGATCAGCCATAACATTCTGACCACCTCCTTGTTTCTACACTCATTGTCCATTTTATCAGCTCCACTTACTATATAGGTGCACTTTGTAGTTCTACAGTTACAGACTGTAGTCCATCTGTTTCTCTGCACACTTTGTTAGCCCCCTTTTACACTGCTTTGTCTGATCCACTCGTACCAGCACAACACACACTAACACACCACCACCACATCAGTGTTACTGCAGTGCTGAGAATGATCCACCACCCAAATAGTACCTGCTCTGTGAGGGCCCATGGGGTCCTAATGTTATGTCTGATCGGTGTATAATGGGGAGGGGGTCATAATGTTATGTCTGATCAGTCAACTTCAGAATTATTGGCATGAAAATGAACTAAAATCAACATATAAAATAAACCACATTGTTGTATGTGACTTATTACATATATATATATATATATTTGCATTCAACTATACATAAATAAAGCCTTTATGTTTGTTGCATTCAAAAATATAAATGAATAACAAAAAAGCCAAATAAGGCAAGTTTACCCTGATTGTGTAAATAATTTTTCTGTGTTCTGAAGAAAGGGTAGACTGCAGAAAACCTCTCATAGCCTCCAATAAGAATCTGAACTGGGTAGCGACTCACTTTTTCCAGGCTTTCAGCACAGTCTATGGCTGGACCTGCGGAAGAACATAATGTGTTTACTTCAATAAACATGCAGTAACTGTCCAATAAACCATGTGTATGTATATGGTTAACAGGACAGTTATGAAGCAATACTGACCTGAATCTAGAAAGGAACTGGTATTGCTGTCATACACAATGATGTATCTCATGCTCTCAATTTCCACATCAGGGGGGATGATAAATTTTCCTTTTGAATCCTGAATGTAAATGTAGTACTTTACTTAAACAACATGCAAGTGACATTCACACAGCATGGTTTAAAAACGCTTTCACTCACATCTGAGCTACAAAACATACCCACTTAGCATTTCTAGCAGTAACAATGTGACTGCAGTAATACGGTCCCTCAGCGCGGGCATCTGAATAAATGTACAAAAAAACATGGTTTACTTCATGCACATAAAATTTCTTCTGAATTTAATGGTTACGATGTAAACAAAGTCATTCAAAGTGGTTTGATACAAGTCCAAATTGTTCACAGGGGTGGTGAACCAGACGTATGAAGCATTTAATGCTTCTAAAAGCTACTTCACAGCAAGTTTTACATAAAAATAATAATGAACACATTGTCTGAGGCAAAAAGGTATCAAAAGAAAATTATTTTTTAAGATTTACTGTTACTTCACCATTATCAACATTAAATATAAAGACTCAGAAGATAACTGGCTGTGAATAGCAAATAAAATAGCTATATTTGCTTTGTAGACACCACGACCCCAAGTTGCTGTCATTACTATTGCAAAGAAATCTGAATTTGTAAGATTCTCTCCGATGCACCATTTCACATCAAACCCATCTGAATGGTCATATGGAAAGTCTGATATATGGCATATATGGACATATATCATAAAGGGTCAGGTTTATATTTCAAAATATATGCACATACAGCATATGTTGTGTACATATGTCATGCAGTTATAATTGTTCCTATGTTATATGTTTGCTTGTAAATGTTACATTATTTAAATGTGTCAGAAATATTTTCATTCATTTAATGTTTTACTGTATAGCTTATAAGGTGCATGTTTTTAGAGTTTAGCTCTGTAGCTATTACACTAATTTATCTTCATTATTAAGTTTGTGGGATAAACAAAGAAGACGCATAAAAAGCTTATATAACATGAAGCTTGCATATGAGTAATATATGCCATCAATATATGAAAGTTTTTTTTGACCACATACTGAGTGTGTTTACATGCACTCAATAATCCGATAACTGGAGAAAATCAGATTTTGTCAGTAACCCGATCAACATGTTTACATGCATATGAGTAATCAGATAATGGGGAAACTCCAGGAGTCAGGTAATGATCGGATTTCTGCTTTACAACCAGCCAATAAACTCATTATGATCGGATTACTGAGTGCACTTATTGTTAAATATTTGTGTTACACATATATGTTAATATATTGCTAAAAAATATGTGCCGTATTTCAATTTCAAATAAGTTGGCATAGGCCTATACATCACAAATATGACAAAAATAAGTTAGGCTACGTTCACATTGTCAGGTTGAAGTGGCACAGATCCGATTTTTTGCCCTAATGTGACTCAGATCTGATGTTATCAGAGCTGTGTGGACTCAAATCTGATCTTTTCAAATCCAACCTGAGCCACTTTCATATGTGGTCCTAGATCGGATACGTATCCGATTCGTGGACATGCGACCTTAATGTGACACTCAGATCGGAATTCATGGTTTTTTTTCCACTGCGCTGCGCCATCATTCAGCGTTACCATGGCAGCACCGCCAAACAGAAGTTAAAGCCTGTAAACGGTGGAAAAGCAGCTCATCTCACCTTTTTCTCCTTCGTCTCGCTCTAATAATGAAGCTGAGAGCTGATCAGAGTTAATTATCCTCTCAGCGAAGCTCGTTCTGCTCGTTAGTTTGTGCTGATGATACACGTGATTCATTCACGTGACGTTACTGAGTAGGATGAGCTCATGAGGGTCATTTCAGGACACCGGTTCGTCACATTAATGACAGATTTGAGTCTCTTACCTAAACGAGTGTGAACCATCCTGTCAGAGAGATCGGATCTGAGCAAAAAATCAGACTTGAGCAACGAGGCCTGTAATGTGAACGTAGCGTTAGATATAAGGGAAATCCATATATGATGTGTCATATATTTGAAACCCATTTGTTTACATATATCAGATTTCTGTATGAGTGACTTTGTTCACTTCTCAACGACTGAAATATGCAGAATTGTTTATGACTTTTCATTATGTTTGTGATGTTTTGTTAAATACAGAAAAAAACCTGCGGAATTCCTACCAATCAAGCAAAGATAGTTGGGCTCTGTGAGCCTGGAGTGGCGGTGGTGCTGACTGAGGGTGTTGTAGAGCTCAGTGGGCTCACAGAGAACCTTCCCCGCCATCACCTCGACCAGAACCCCAGCGCAGATAGCGGTTAGCATAGCATAGCTAGCTAACGCAAAAATAGTGCAATGTTTCGTTAAATCGTGAACTAAATATTAAAATTCCTTCCAAATTTAAATCTTTTAACGCTTAATGTCCTTCTCTGCTGTGGGAACCCGACAGAAACCGACTGTCGTCGGAGTATTCAGCGCGTTTCTGCTAGCACGCAAAGCCTTCTGAGGGACTGTGGGTGCTTCGTTGCTACGGTAACCAACGAAAGACGGTTTGATTGGCTGGAACCGCCCACTTCTAGACGTCGGAGCTTCGATAGCCAATCAGAGCGCGCAGCTCGCACATCTGTCAGCAAAGCGGGCGGCTGGTTCGCTGAGAGAGGTTTCGGAAGTATTTTTGAAAACCTGGTAGCCGCGGCTGCAGAATGGCCGAGTTCGGGGTAGGTTTCAGTGTTTATTTGTGCGAAATGGAAATAAGAGCTACAGGGATTGTCCTTCTTTATGTCTTTACAGGGAATCTACAGAAGAAATAGCCTTCGAAACTGTGTTGTTGTGCTAAAAACGGTCAGTCTTGAGGTCTGGCAGCCTGGCCGTTAACGTTAGTCCGATGCTCCCGGTATCAGATCAGCATCGGATCCGTGTTCGAGACTTTTACTGTGTTTTTTGCTTCACAGCGACTGAGCAGAGTTTTCCACAAGCGCAGGAAAAAGCCTGCCAGCAGTCGACGGTGGGCCTTAAGAGCCAAGAAGTCAGTGACCCCAGTATCTGGCAGCCAAGTGGACCTGCAGAGGTGGGTAGAGCTTAAAGGGGAATCCCTCCGATTTAGCAAAATTCCTGTATAATTCAGTCGTGGGGATGTAAACAAAGTCTTACAGTGTGGTTTGATGTGAGATGATTCATTGTAGAGAAACATGCCAACTTAGATTTTTTACAGTGGAAGTGACAGGAACCAGGGGTCACAAAAATAGAAAAAAATACTATTTTATTTACTATTCAAAACCATCAGCAACATGTGTTGTAATATTTTATATATGTTGCTAATGTATGGTAACCTAGCAGTAAATGTGAAAATGGGTTTTCTTTGGGGGACTGTTTTGCCTTACAGCCCCATGCCTGTAACTTACCCCTCCACCATTAATGGCTTTTAAAAAATATTTTTAAGTTTTGGGCCAAATACTTACTGCAAAGCTTTCGTGAGACAGTGTCTCTGACATCAGGCAACAAACTCGTAACCGTATACAGTAATAATAACTTTCTCTGAGGGAGCTTTTAGGCATTAAACGCTCCAGACGTCTGGTTCCTAACACCACCACTGTGAACAGTTCTAACTCAGGAAGTTTCTCAACTTCCTGCTCAGTCACACTGCTCTGAATGACTTCCTTTTTTTTTACATCTTAACCATTTAATTAGGCAAACATTTTGAACAATTGTCAGAATTGCCCTTTAAAATCACTGAAATAATGACTCATTATTTAATGACTAGAATTAAAAGTATCCTAAAATCACTTCAGGTGTGTCATAAACGGAACAGAGTTAAATTAATCCTCAAAAAGAAAATGATGGACTCTGTGTGAATGACTGAAGCGTAAACATATTGGAGAGCTGTAATGTTCAAAGACATCCTCGTATCCAGAGCATTAAATAAATTATTAATGTAAAATGAAATATTTACAGTTTACCCCTTACCCCAGCCAATTTTCTCCTTTCCTTAATTCTAATTGGTCGGCCAAAACATGTTTAGTTCCCAAGGCTTGTTTCTTTAGTTTGTGCACCTAAAATCTGTTTGGGTAACATCTGTTATATTAGCCTCATAGCACCACTGCAAAGCTAAAGTCTTGGCTGATTGACTCTGTTTAAGGTTAATGAGAAACTTATGTAACCCAATATCTCAGTTTTAACCCAATATCTCATACATTACAGTTTTCTCTTTATTGTGTTCTGGTGTTTTTTGTGTCCATTAGAGGTGGGAATCTCTGGGCACCTGACTATTCAGTTACGTTTCAGAGGTTGCGATGCGATTATAAAACGATTATCGATCTTTTTTTCTATACAGGATTTCTCTTTCAAATTTTCCCGTTTCACCTTAAATGTTGCCGCGTTTACATTCGGCGCCTCAGTCAGAATTTAAGGTGGAACGGGAAAATTCGAACAAGAAGCTGACGAATGAGAAGCGACTTCAGCCTCATAAAACAGTCAAACTACTACTATCACTAATACTACTACTTTTGAGGAAAAGCGTCCTGGTGGAGATGGGAAGAAAGCAGCTATAGCTGAAGCTTAAAGCAGATCAAAGTAAGACTGTGTTTTAGCCTATATTAGGACATTAACACACACTGAGACATACTGGACATTAAATGTTGTGGCTCCCAAGGTGGTTTGATTTTTGTTGAAGGGACAAAATGGCTCTTCTTAACATTTGTGTTGTGACTCCTGACCTAACCTGGCTTTAATGCAGAGGAGCCGGTCGGATTTCTCGCTCATCCAGTAGTGTGTTTGTTATGTGCCGCCACAGACTGTCCAGGCGCTGCACCTCCGCACTTCCAAGCTCCGCCCTTTACGTTCTGTCCACATTACGTTATAAATTAAATATTTAGAAAATCGATTTTTGACATTTGTGAATCGATTCAGAATCGTCCACGTCCGCATCGCGATGCATCTAAGAATCGATTTTCCCCACCCCTAGTGTCCCTGTTGTGTCACAGTCCTTTGCACTCTTTCTGCTTGTCTCTGTGTTTGTAGTAAACTAAACCCCAATGACAAAACCAAGATGGAGCCGACTGTGGAGCCCCGAGATAAAGATGGTGCGCAATTGTTGACTTCTTCAAGAAAAGTGGTCTTTTTTCATGCAGTTGGAAGCATTGTGCAGCAGTGCCAGCACAGCATTAGTCAGGTAAGGGTCAGCTAGCATGTGCCAAAACACTGTTAGCACAGAAGCTTCACATCAAATTATGTAAACTATTTTTCTCTCTCTTCTTTTAAAGATCTGGACTGGATTTTGGAATGTGTTCCTTTTCTGGAGAGCTTACTCACAGAGAGTAGAGATTCTTCACCAGAGAGTGGAGGACCTTCAAAGGGAGCTTCATCTGCTGCATGCCAATGTGCTGATTAGTGAAACTTATGGCTGATTATAGAGTTTATTTCTATCATAAATTGTGATTCTGATCACTGTAATGTACAACAAATGAGCCTCAGATGGTCATTCATTGTTGTGTGATGTCTTTTTAAGATGGCTAAGGGGCCCAGAAGTTCTTGCTGCCATTGTGCACCATCAGGTGGTGGACGGCATCCACAGAGCTCTGTTGATCCCCCAACTGCTCTTCCTCTTCCTCCTCCTCCACCACCTCCACCTCTCCTTCCACCTCCTCCTGCTCCTCCTCTACCCCCAGCCAAGAAGACTCCACAGAAACTGTCCTTCATCCCCAAGAAGAGGACAGTTCTCACTACACTGCAGGTATTTTTTCAGTGGTTTATGTGTTAAAATATCAGGATTTTGCAGAGCTATAATTATTATTATACACATATCAGGCGTAACATTCTGACCACCTCCTTGTTTCTACACTCATTGTCCATTTTATCAGCTCCACTTACTCTGTAGGTCCACTTTGTAGTTCTACAGTTACAGACTGTAGTCCATCTGTTTCTCTGATACTTTGTTAGCCCCCTTTTACCCTGTTCTTCAGTGGTCAGGACCCCAATGGACCCTTACAGAGCAGGTACTATTTGGGTGGTGGGTCATTCTCAGCACTGCAGTAACACTGACGTGGTGGTGGTGTGTTAGTGTGTGTTGTGCTGGTCTGAGTGGATCAGACACAGCAGTGCTGCTGGAGTTTTTAAACACCTCAGTGTCACTGCTGGACTGAGAATAGTCCACCAACCAAAAATATCCAGCCAACAGCGTCCTGTGGGCAGCGCCCTGTGACCACTGATGAAGGACTAGAGGATGACCAACACAAACTGTGCACAACACACACTAACACACCACCACCATGTCAGTGTTACTGCAGTGCCGAGAATGATCCACCACCCAAATAGTACCTGCTCTGTGAGGGTCCATGGACAGACACAGTTCGAGTTTAAATAATCAAACTTGACCCACTTCTGCCCTCTAAAGGTATTAAACACCAGTCAAAAGTTAAAACTTGTGGGGTTTTTTTTCCAGGAAAAAAAAACACATCTTGACATCTTAGTAACTGTGTTTAACGCTTTCTTTTATTAAAGCTGCACTATGTAAAGTAGCACTATTCAGTCAGTAGGAAAAAATCACTAAAATATGATGTGTTTGAGCTGCTGTGAGTCACCCTGTCCAGCCTGAAATAGTAATTTAAAAGTCAGAGGTGTCGAGTCGGATTTGGCAGGAGTTTTTCGGACCACTTGTTATGCACAGGCTCAAAAAGAAGGTCCGGCTTGATGTTAGGACTCAACTGCAAAATCAGTATTAAGCTGATGAAGATATGATGACAATAGCGGATATCAAAAATTCACTTACATCTTTGGACACATCCTTCACTAAGTTTTGACTGAGTTCTCTCCTATAACTTCTTCAGCACACTCACATCATTAGATTCATCCACTCTGAAGGGGTCCTAAGCGCAGCGTTACAAAACATTCTTCCACACGTTGCATTAAATTATACATCTCAACCAGAGAGGTCTGAAGATACCTAGACTTACATAGTGCAGCTTTAACATGCATACATACATAACATGCATGTATTGTATTGTTGTCATCATTTACATCATTTAAAGGGGAACTCCACCAATATGCAAAATTACTTAATCGTTCAACCGTTTAGATGTAAACAAAATCATTCAGAGAAGTTTGGTGTGAAAGTTGCCTTTCTAAAGAAATTTTCAGAGTCAGAATTGTTTACCATTATAGTACTACGAACCAGACCCACTTATATCTGCAGTACAAATATCACCATTTTATCTACTAGTAAAAAATGACCAGTAAACTGTGTGTCTTATAAGGTTTTAAATGTCCCGCCGATAATGATAAAATAGCGCTAAATTTGAAAAAATAAAATTTTTGGGTACTATTTTTTCCTTATAACGGCCTGTATGTGTCTCTCCGCCCTGCACATTTGAGTTGTTTGGCTTGGTGGCGCTGTGTCACACGGTCAGCAGAACTCAGAGCTTACATGAGTAACATTATTCATCAGAGGAGCTGTGATAGATCACAGTTCACCTCACTGTCCTAGCCCGTAAACTGGTGAGCAGAGTAGCAAGTAGTTTGCTGTTGACACTGTCAATTTCCATTCGCTCTGGGTTCTTCTGCTTCGGTGCCGGTGCTGTATCCGATTCAGTTCCCCCTCAAATTCACGTTCCCTTTGACAAGGGACCATTCACTGAACAACGTCTACAGTGGAACTACGTGTTTTCACCCAACCCCCAATATAAATTCACCCAAGATAATGCAGCACAATTGAGATTCTGTTATAAATATTATTTTCAGTTCAAATAAACAGTAAACAGTCGTACTGATAAATACTGTTTGTACTGTTCGTCACCGATTGGGTGACTGCAGCTGCCGTACAAACCTTTTATGAACCTTTTCGCTTTCTGTAGTTCCAGCGTTGCTTGGTGTTGTTATCTGTTAAGTGAATGCGTCTCCAGAGCGTGAATTTGAGGGGGAACTGAATCGGATACAACACTAACATTAACCGTGTTGAACAGCTGTAGCTAGTAACTACAAAAGCACGTTCGCTCGCGCGCATTGATCTCAGCTGAGAATGCGGTTTTGACAGGAAACACAGAAGTGATCCTGGAGTAATATTTTTTACTAAAAATACGTTTTAGGCCAAAACTTTATAACAAAACTATCACAAAACAATCTCTCAGGTATCAAGCAACGCATTTATAACCGTTTCGTGTAATAACTTAACGGGATGTAGCATTTAGACCCATTAAATGCTTCAGACGTCTGGTTCCTAGCACTGTATCTGTACAATATACAAACTATGCAATAACTATAACTAAACAAACAATAAGCAAAGGGCAGTGGAGACTAGCCACTGAATAAAGGGGTGGTGGAGAGTAGACCATCTGTTGGTCTACAGCAGCAGTAAAAGTTGTACATGTATTATTATTGCACTGAATGATTGCGAAAGCTAACAACTGTGGAAAATAACTGTACTGAGCGTAAATAATTGCAATCAGGCATCTTTTTCAAGTGTCATGTTACTATTATGAAGCAATATAGTTTATATGGCAGTTATAGAGGAATTCTAGGAATTATTTGCTAGATGAAAAGGGTAAATGTTTGTATTGTGCTGAGTCTTCCTGTCCACTTCCCATTTAGGAGAAAATTGATCGCCGTGTTGCTGTGACTCTCCAGGACCTACAGGCTGTGCAGCTCAGAAAAGTAACCGTTAACCGTAAAGTTCGGGTAAGTAAGCCTTTCTTCTCCTGTTGTATTGTGATTCTGTACTACTCAGTGTGAGAGAGAGACTGAGAGTGACACGTGTTTGCAGGTGTCCCCTGATAGGAGAAAAGCGCCGCTGGTCACACTAGCAGACCTGCAGAAAGTCCGTTTGAAGCGCACTCAGTGCAGCCTCCCCTCGCCGCTGAGGCCTGGCCTCGCCAAGTAAGTGCACCATTCTAAATATTCTACAGACGGATGACGAAATAAAGGAAAACTGAATCAATGAGTGCGTTTAAAATCATAATCGGATTTCTGCAGTTATCCGATTATTTAATTGGTCATGTAAACACCACACTCTGATCTAGAAATCCGATGAAGAGGCTGGACTTTCAGTAAATCAGTAATCAGATTTCTCAGCGCATATATACTCTTGCTCTGATTTCTTTCGGATTTATCAGTCTGAGCATATGCAAGAACAGACAGCGGTGCCAGAAATAAGCGAGCAGTGTCCCTGCGAAATGCAGCAAAACACTTCTGGACTCTGAAACCAAACATGAAATGAAGGATTTAAAGATTCTTTATCTTCTAGATGGTATAAGTTTGTTTAAAAGCTGCATGAAGTTTGAGTTTTCCGTTACATTTATGTCACGTCTTCTTCTGTGAGTTTATTGGTTGAAGAATCATAACAAGTGCAGATGCCTCCAAACAGGTGAACTGCATGATGCAGTTAAACAGCTCACATTTGATAACAGCTCTGTGATGCCGAACTGGCCCAGTTGGCCTCGATTTTGGATCAAAATGGCCAGAGAAAAAGATCTGAGTGACTTTGAAAGAGGCTTCATTATTGAAGCATGAATTGCAGAAGCCTCAGTCACGAACGATTCAACAGGAAAAGTAGAATCTGCACTTAGAGATGTGGAAAAGAAGTGAGTGAAACAGGGTAGCAGCTGCTTCTCAGGTGACTGAAAATGCCAGTGCAGGATGTGATCAGACTGTCAGCAAGAACGATCTGTCCACAGCTACATAGAGAGGGATGTTAGAGGAGGGTTACAGTGAATAAAGCCCTAATAAACAGAGTAAAGTGGAGTTAAATCCACAGGCACTGGTCTGAAGAGATGTGGAGAAAAGTGATATGATTGATTCTTCACTATGTTCTCCATAAGTGGGTATGTGCATACGCCACGAGTTCAGCCTGGATGCTTGACTCCTACACTGAGGGGTTCTGATGGCTCTGTTATGTTGTGGAGGGCATTTTGCTGGCTTGGTTTGGGTCCACTTGTCCCCTTAGAGGGAGGGGTCACTGCAAAACAATATACAGTTATTGTGACAGATCACCTTTATCCTGTGATGAAACATTTCCATCCTGATGGGAGTCTTTTCCAGGATGACAATGCTCGCCATCCACTGGGCACGAGGGGTCACTGAATGGTTTGTTGAGTATGAAAATAATGTAAATCATGTGTTTTGGCCTTCACAGTCACCAGATCTCAACCCAGTTGAACACCTTTAGGAGATTTTGGTCCAGTGTGTTAGACAGAGCTCTCCACTACCATCGTCAGAACACAGATGGAGGGAATATCTTTTGTAAGAATGGTGATCCGTCCCTCCAGTACAGAATCTGTCGCACTTTACATTGGTTTTTGTTTAATATTGGTTTTTCTTTTAATTTGTCGCCCAACTGTAGAAATTTATGCAGAGCAGAAATTATTTGTAACACCTAAAGTTGAGATTTATCTACTGTTATTGATTAAGAATGAGGCGACTAAGTGACCTGTGAGCTTTGTGTCCTTTTTTCTTGCTCTATAGGTCACCAAACAAAAGCCCCATGAAGCTACGGGTACAACTTAAAAAAGTCCACATTGACCGGTAATTAAACATGCATTTGATTATGAGTTAACTGTGAGCACCAAAGACATACACACTTTCAGATGAAGACATTCCAGAAATAAAACTCTGTCTTTATTGCTGCCATCATAATAAAATAACAGTAATAGTAATAATACCATTGAATTAATTTACACATTATGCAATTAATACATGTTTAATTAATATGCAGAACTGACAGTTCAAAATGTTTCTGTTTTACTGTTGTTTTTTGTCAAATCTCATTAAACTAAAGTGATAGAAGTTGATAGAATTCTCATTGTAATTGAAAAATATTGTATTTTTAGTGCCTTGATTAAAGTATGCAAGGACTGTAAATGGTTTGACACATAACTTGCATCAGCTGGTGTAATGTTTTGTTTCTCAGTACGCCTGGTGGCTCACCGCAGTGCAATAAAGAGAATGTAGAGGACTTCTGCATTAGTGCAATCACCAGCCAAGCTTTGGTAAACAAGCCGCAGGTAAGCAACGCTACTGAAAGCGAAATGAACTTGTGTTCACAATGTCACTGTCGACTGTAAAGTGAGTTTTACAGCGTGGATTATCAGACGGCTGTTTCCTGCCATTATTAACTGCTTGTGTTTCATGTGTACAGATTGCTTTGCCTACAGCATCCTAACCACTGAAGACAGCGACATCAGGAATTCTCCATTTTAATGTTTTGCCTTTGCCGTCATGCAGTATTGCACGTTCTTATCTGGTTTGTTCTACTTTGGTCTGTTGAATGACCCATTTTTTTTGTTTTTCCAAGGCACTCATAGGATCCATGCTTTCCCCTTCAAACAGTATTAAACAAATAATCATATTTAATTACGTCTTCATCTTACATAGTGAGGGTTGGAACAGATACCAACAAATTCAGCCTATCAAGAGTCTCGTTAAGGAAAATGTGCATAAATAAGCGAATGCATGTAGCCAAAGATGGGTGTCATTAAAAAGTATAATATTCCTAACGTTTACATTTGTCATTCAACGTATTGTCCTGAGACCGTATGTATATGTATGTATATGTATATGTATATGGACCTAAATGTGATGTTTTGTTATACCACTGTAACATGTTTCCTAAAGTAAACATACTATGAAATACTAAACCTGCCTATTTTTTTACTACAGAAGGTATAAAACTGGAGGATATTAGATAGAAAGTTTACATTCAGATCATACATAAAGCCAGTTTGTATGTATCTTCATCCGGGAAGCTTATTATCCTTAATATATGTCGCTGTTGTCAGATCAAAACCTTGCATCTCCTAAATGGTGACTTTACAGGAGAAGGAAAAAACACACTTTACTTTTAATGGAAGTCAATGGAACCAGACTTTTTTCCAAGTCATTTTGGGCCGTTTCTTTTAGTCAGTTCAGCATCAAATCTACAAACAATGTAAAGGACAACAGGTATTTTCAAATTATGTCAAAAACTGAAAAATGACAAAAGTGGAGATACAAGGTTTTGTTCCGACAGCAGCGATATGTTATATTAGCATTAAAATGTGAAATTTTAGGAGCCAAGTTGTTTTTTTGTTGTTGTTTAATAATAAAAAATTGCATTTTTTACTGATTTTCTAACTGAAAAGAAGTTACTACGTCCTCTACACATTTCTGCACATTTTAACACACAGCTATTGTTTAATGGCTGAATTGAATATATTGGAAAATAAGAAAGAAATGCAAAAGTTATGGCACATTGTATGATTTATGTTTTTCCCAATATGTTAAACTCAGCAAATAAATAGAATGAATAAATAGAATTATGTGCTAAAATTTGCAGAAAAAGGCCATTATTTCCATTTGTGTCCTGTAGAGGACGCGTTCACTCATTTTCACCTAGAAAATCAACAAAAGTAAAGTGACAGGGCATCACATTTGCATACAACTATGTAAGTTAACTTGTGTGATTAAAACCCCCAGAGTAATATGTCTTGTATTACTGTTGCCATAATAATAATGATAAAGATAACATTAAATGAATGTAAACAGCATTATTGTGTAGTTAATATGATCACAATAACCCTGCTTGAAAAAACAGCATAGCTGGTCACCGGCAAAACCGGCATATGTTGAGTTTTGGATGCAGATGTGCAGGTCAACCTGTATGACTGAGCTGGTCACCAGATAAATCAGCGTAGAATTGATGCTGGTCTGTGCTTAGTGTTTTTCACCTGTTTAAATAATAACCAAAACTGACATTTATGTTTCCATTAAAATGATGTGTAATTATTTTGATAGACATTAATAGAAGTCTCACTTTTATTTGGAAATATTCTATTTTTTATTATTTAATGCTTTGATAAATATATGCAAGGACTATAAATGATTTGACACATATCAGTTAATGCAGGTTGAGTCTTTTTGGGCCCCAACAGTGGGGCAAAATACTCCTTTTCAAGATTTCTAAAAAATAAATATTGTATGTATTCACATTAAAATTGTACAAAATATTATTGGAGTTTTTTTTTATTTGGGTATTTATTACTATTATCACAGAAAGTGCATAATAAGGAGGCGACGACTATAATCAGAGAACTTGTAGAGAGGAGAATTGCCACTCTGCAATGTCTTCCGAGTTTCTCAAATGCTAGGGGGCGCTCCCGAGCGAGTCCACAATGAATGGGTTGATATGGAGCCTTTGAGCAAAATCAAAGTTTATAAATGCTTAAACATTTTTAATGTAAAAGAACGCAAAAACTAAAGAAACGTTCTGGTTCAGTGATTGGAAACTATTTTAACTTTGTTTTTAGCCGTTGAGCTCCATTTACTCCCATTCTCATTAAGGACTCCCTCACGGCGCCCTCTGCTGTTTAGTAGTCCTGCTTTTGATATAATGGGGGAAATAGAAAGTGGCCAGACTTCTCATAAACCGCCCCCCCCCAACGTTATATCAAAAACAGGACTGCTAAACAGCAGAGGGCGCCTGCGAGCGAGTCCTAAATGAATGGGAGTGAATGGAGCTCAACGGCTAAAAACGAAATTAAAATAGTTTCTAATCACTGAACCAGAACTTTCCTTTAATTTTAGATGAATTTCATTGAAAAAGCAAAAAAATCTCACCTGCCTGTTTCCTTTTTTCTACAGTAAACGGGTTTTGGGCAGCAGGACGCTGACATTACTGCTAGAGAGTGCTGATTGGTTGGCGAGCGGAGCAGCTCATTGGCTGTCCGCGCTCACTGACGTCATGAACGTACATTAGGGTTCCGTTTTATACTCCTATAACTCGAGTTTAAAAGCTCTTAAAAATGTAACAGCGGTGTTAAAATGTTTTATGTTGCTCTGTGTTCAGGAAATGAATGAATTCTTCTACATTAAAAATGTTTAAGCATTTATAAACTATGACTTTGCTCAAATGCTCCATATTAACCCATTCATTTTGGACTCACTCGGGAGCGCCCCCTAGCGTTTGAGAAACCCGGAAGACAAAGTTCTCTGGCCAGCCTTCTCATAAAGCGGCTCTGCTATAAATGAAAACGTTGAGACCACAGATATTCATGCCTAGATGCCGCGTTGGGTCCAGCCAAGCACGTCAAAGGCGCCGCCATTTTAGGGCGGTCAACATCGCTGCTGTACTGCATTCAGTACCATTACAGAGCGGCAGTTTAAGAAAGATACTGTCCAAAATTACACTGTTTCAGGAATATCAGACTCAGAAAGTGGGGTAGGATTATATAACGGAGGGAACGCAGTGATCCACACTCATGTCTGTGTGATGCGTATTGTTTGTGTGGTGTTTGTGTAGATATGGCCGTATGGTTGGTGAAGCACAGAGAACCTGTTGATGTGATTGTTTTTCCTCTGGTTTTATATTAAGCTTATTTCATTTAATAGTCTATTCTATTCTATAGGATCTTAACTTTATGTAGTTATTTATTTACAGTGATGGTTAAAGCTTTGTAGCTGGGTAAGTTACAGCATTCCTTAATCCGTGTAGATAATTATAATAGATTAACGTTAGAACCTTCTTACACGAACCTGAAGTTGGCTTCTTATTTGCCAGCTTCTTGTTCGAATTTTCCCGTTCCACCTTAAATGGTGCAGCTTCAGGCACCAGAAAGTTAAGGTGAAACGGGAAAACTCGAAGAAGCGAATAGGAAATCAACATCAGCTTCGTCCTTCTTACTGTGTTTTGGGGGTTTATTTTATTTTTATGTGTATTAAGATTAGAAGTGATTCACACACTGATGGATTTGCTGATGTGTCTGATTGTGTTTCTCACGCTAAACTCGGTTTTTATCGTCAGGTGCAGACTGAATACTTTCCTGCTGGTCCAGACGGTTAATTATCACGATCAGTTATTAAAGTAATAAAAGCTACCGAGAGCAGATCCGAGCAGCCTGGATTAATCTGTGTCTGAGGATTATAACTAATCAGATTAGGTGAAAATCGGTTGAGTAATAAGGAAGTTGTGGCTGATTTAATCCTGAGACTCTTCGTCTCTCAATACAAGTGAATCTGTTCACAAGCGGATCTTGACCGCTCCAACATGGCGGACGCGCAGACGTATCGCCTCCGATAGAGAACAGCAGGCAGGTGACGCGTTTCGTCACAGGAGCTCTGCTATGACGTAGGCGGATGTCCCGCCTATTGCAATGTGTTTCTCCCAGCCTGTTCTCGGCCACGATGGCGGCGCCCATCACCATCGGCTCTCTGCTCCAGTCCGAGCTGGTAGAAGACGCTCTGTATAAAGATGAGGGCGTCTGCGTGCTGGGCGTGTTCGGGAAAAGCGCCATGCAGGCCGGTTCGGCCAAAGAGTCGCTGATAAACATACTGGCGGACAAGCACATCTTTCCGCTGCTGGCGGCGGAGGAGGCGGGTGGTCCGGACGGAGGGGGCTGCATTAGAGCCTATTACAACCAGGAGAGCCGGGTGCTGTACCTGGTGCTCACCTCCGTGTTCGACAACCGTCAGCTTCTGCGGGCGTGTGAGTGTCTGAGCTCGGGCCTGGGCCACGCCGAGGCCCATGAGTTCTGGAAGGGGGCTGAGAAGGAGCACTGCCTCCAGCTGCTGTTCCTCTTCTCCCTGTGCCACGTTCTGCTCTTGGTCCACCCCACCTGCTCCTTTGACATCACCTATGACAGGCTGTTCCGTGCCCTGGACGCCCTGCGCCAGAAAGCCTTGCCTCTGCTCCGGGGGGCCATAAAGGACTGCCCCGTGTCCAAGGAGTGGAAGATGAACTGCAGGCCGTGCCCCCCTCGCCTGCTGTTTGTGTTCCAGATGAATGGGGCGCTCAGGGTCAACAGCGCGTCCGGTTTGGGGGGAAACGGCAATGATGGTGGAGGGGGCGACAAGCCTAAGAAACATTCACCCAGGAGGCGCCTCCAGCACGCTTTGGAGGACCAGATCTACCGGATTTTCCGCAAAAGCAGAGTCCTCACCAACCAGAGCAGCAACTGTCTGTTCACCGTGCCCGCCAACCAGGCTTTTGTCTACGTGGTTCCGGGGCCGGATGAAGACCCCATCAGCTCCTTGCTCGGCCAGCTGCGGGCAAACTGCGCCCTGCGAGAAAATGATGCCGGCACGCCGACCCCTGGGCCGAGGAGGTACCAGCAGATGCGCCACTCCAACCGCCAGCCCTCCTTCAACGTGGAAAACAGTGGGTTCTCTTCCTCAGGAGGCCAGCTGGTGGACTGTACTTTGAAGGAGTTCCTGTGGCAGCATGTGGAGCTCGTGCTGAGCAAGAAAGGCTTTGATGACAGTGTTGGTCGCAACCCTCAGCCGTCCC